CGTTTATCAGGCCTGAACTGAGTGGCCGGCTGACCGTCCAGTCTGAATGTCGCCGTGAGTCCCTCCGACAATGTCAGTCGCTGGCACCAGCCATGTCGCGAACCATCATCCGTATCTTTGACGCGGGCAGCTTCGACTCCATCATCTGCACGTGCGGCCGGTGCAAGGACTCGCCGGCGCGCGGGTGTCACCACACGACCAGCATCGCCATCGGACCGGCGTCTGGCGCCGAGACTCAGTCGCTGCCGCCGCCCTCACCACCCTCGACCTCGCCGCCGGCGTCCCCGCTGCCGTCAGTGACATCGTCACTGTTCCTGGACCTGTCGTCTCTGCCGCCGCCGCCCCCGAACTCCCCACCACCCCCGCCCCCGCTCCCGAGTGACGGAGAGTTCGACCGGGACTCGATCGACCCCGACTCCGAGTCAGAGTCGGAGTCTGAGTCGGACTCAGACGCGACAGTCGGTGAGACTCGGAGTGACTCTGAGTCGTCCACTGTGCACGGCGGAGACAGCTGCTCGTCAGTCGGTACGGACCACAGGAGCGTCCCTGGACGTACCCCCGGAGAAAGCCCCTCGCCAGAGCACCTCTCCATAACTCCCTCCTGGCACGAGCCGGACGGCGGGGGTCGCGACCGGGCGCGGACGCGCGGCACGATCGGCACGAGAAACGACCGCGCCGACTACGATACGGGCTATCACTCCGTCAAAGACGTGGACATAGACGCCATTCGGATCGTGAAGGCGCCCTCGGTTGCCGCGCTGATGACCGAGCCGATGCCGGCCGATGTGGCCATTACATTCCCGCTGCAGAGGGAGCGGACGGCGCGCGGCCTGGCGCTGCGCCGCTGCGAGAGTGTCGGATCGGGCGACCTGCTGCGCGGCGCCAAGCTGAGCTGTGTGACACTCAAGAACAGGATCCAGTCGGCGCTCAGTTTTCGGACGGATGAGGAGAGGGAGCGGCCGCGCCGCCCCGCCTCCAGGTGAGCCCCGGGGCGGAAGGTGCCGTGGGACCGCGGCGCACCGCCGCCCCCGACACTTACACACTTTCTACGGCCGCGGTAATACGATTCCGGGTGCGCGCGGGTCAATCAGACCTATTAAAAACATATCGGGTGGGCGGTGCGGGTCGGCGGACGGCGATTGCCCCGGTCCATTGTAGGTTAATTGAGACGTGTCTCTCCCATCCTTCCACCCACAGCGCCGGCCGTTTCCGCCCAGAAACGCTGGCGGTCGTCTGAGGTGTTCATCAGATGTATTCTGATCGCCAGATAACTGTCTGATGAGCTCAGACACACATGTGACAATGGTAACGATCTCTAATGGACGGAAGAGTTCACCTTTACCTCAAACGATTCCGAACAAAGACGGATAGTATCTGGATATTGAACAAGGTCGTAGAAGGCCAAGTGCCAGTATTATTTGGGATCTACATACATTGAAAACAATTCTCGCCCATTATTCAGCAATCCATGGATTGTTTCAACTGACATAACAGCAGAAGAGAGAAAGTCGTGAATAACTGGATATCAAAATTGAACGCAGAAGCGGAAGTTTTTTCTTTTGTCCCGGGCTTTACCAGCGTTTCATCCCACTTCGATGACCCAAAAATTAAGTTCGTTTCCTCCTAGTCGTCCACCTGCCACAGTCCTTCACCGAGGTGTTAAGTCCGGTCTCCAGTCATGACCCGGCGCCCTGGGCTGTATTCTGCGCCGCACCTCCTCCCGGCGCCACACTGGGGTCGTCTGATACGCTCTGATGGATCGCGCGCCGGTGATCGAATTGTTTTGTGCCAGCTGCGATCCATCTCTATATAATGGCGAGCGACGGGCGTGGGCCCGGGCCGCGGCGGGTCGCCCATCCCGTGCCAGCTGTGGTCAGAGGAGGCAGCACCTGTGCACCAACGGCTGAGCAGGACTCGTCGCTTGTACTTCGCCAATGTGCCACGACGGGGACGTGTTGCTTAGATCAAAACTGCAGACAGGTAGAAGTCTCCTTGGAGACTGGCGTTCGATCCTGAGCAGTCACCCGGCCCAGCCTTGGCAGGCAGCCGGTGCGGAGGATATCTCACACCGTGCGATGTGGCGCCGCTTATTCTGTAGTTGTTCTGGGTGAGAGTGGTCGATACCATCCGTAAACTCGAGGCTGTGAAGTAAGTGGCGACCCTCATCCGTCTGCCTCCAGGTAACACGAAGTGGCACAGTGCTCCGTCATGTACGCTCTGTGTGCCTTTCGCTAACCGATAAAATCTCCACTTGTCTGGTTTTGATTACAGTAACAATTACGCCATCAATTTACCTGTGAAAAGCTGTCAAATTTGGCCTCGCAATATTCATCAAAAGCTGTATCTATGACCGCATCTCGGGAAAAAGTAACACGCTATGGGAGATTGATTGACTTTGGCTTTCAGCCTCCCTCTCAAATCATGCTTTAATGGTCGTGTAATCCACCGCCGTCAACACTGCCTTCTCAGAGGGTCCTAATGGGAACCGGGACGGAGTATTTCACGAGCCGGTCGCCCCAGCCAGCGGCCGCCGCCGCCGTGACGGGGCGAGGGTCGCCGCAGACGGCCGCCACCGGGATCCTCTGTTGTGACGAAACGCAGTCTCCTGGCTATTGTGCTGTCGAGTGTGCGTCGTTGAAGTCTCGGGCGCGGTCGGTCGGGTCGGCGCGGAGTTGCACCGCGCCGGTGGCCGAAGTGGGCCGATTCTATCTGCCGCGGCCGGCTGTTTACGGGTCCGGCGCTGACACGGCCACCACAGACGCACTGCACGCACCGGCACAATGCGCCGGCCGGTGCCATGCGCGGCGGCCGGAGAGAGTAAGCGGCGGCCACAGGGATTGGACGGCTTCCGTCCCGTGGCCGCCGGGCCATTGTCTGCGCCGCTCAGCGAGACAGTTTTCTGAGACAGCGCTGTGGAATTGGCCCATTCCTCGCACCATTGAGCGCTGCCACGGACACAATAGGGAAACTCGCATCGGTGGCACGTATACGGCTCCATTTCAGCCCGCGGCCGGCTCTGGCCGGGCCCAGCCGTCGACTCTTGTTCAAGCATGGAGTCGTTAATGGATCAGAGTCAAGTTGAGCTGTCAGGACGGCACTCTCAGACAATGCCAACGGATTTCGTAGTGACGTGGTAATTGTATGCAATTAATTCTCTTCGGACAGAAACTGTCACTGGCCGCCATTGTCTTTAAACAGTTACGGTTTAAGTAAATTGAAACTGGACAATGTTGTACTTTCAAAATTAAGTCAGCAAAACGTACGATAGATTGTCACCTTTTCTGCTCTTGGATACTCTACCAACTGAAATTTCTGGCAATGGTTGACTAATTCATGGGATAATTTTTACCTACCATCATTCCTTGAAGTAACAAATGACTGTAAAATGTAAATAAACAAACGGGAAAGCAGGGTCTAAACATCATCAGTCAGACATAGAGATAGACCCTCGTGAGAAAGCTATTAAATTTTGGAAGCTTCAACTGTTGGGCTCACTCCACTCTCGTTTATGCTCGCACGCACATTCACTCATAACGACTAAACGAGCTGCTTTTCTGATAGGCTTGCTCAATATCTGTGATTGGTCGTATTTAAACAGTATGCTTTAAACCCAGGCTTCACTAGCAATGCAACAGTGGGTTGTACAAGTAGCGAAACTGCTCCATTTTCCATACTGAGCTGATATTAAATTTCGTTCGTGGAGTCACTGCTCAATGGAGCGTGACACGTTTATTCTCACGAATGAATAAGTGCATTATAATGGAGTCGACCCTGGCGCTAGGTGCACCTTGGTCGAGTGTGGTAATGACTCAGCACCTGGCGTCGGGGCCAATCTCCCCAACTAGGGAGAGGGTGGCAGTGTCTTGCCTTTTCGGTTAGTTAATAAAGAAGGATATGTCGGGTCACCCGATCTGCATACGGCGCTTCGCACATCGCGCTAGCTGCTCTGCCTTAAGTTCCTTCTCCCCTCCCCTCCCCTCCCCTCCCCTCCCCTCCCCTCCCCTCCCCTCCCCTCCCCTCCCGGACGCCAGCGCGTGCCTGCAGCGGCGGGACAGGTGCGGGCCCGGTGATTCTCGGCATTAGCATGCTGAATTCATTACCAACCCGCTGGAATGTTTACCCCCGTCGCCGACCGAAGCTCCGGTGTGTGTGAGGAGAAATTTGGAAATATCGGCTCTAATGTTGACCACAAACAGTCGCTGACGCCGGAATGGTAAGCAGGCGGCCGTGAGAGAGGGTCGGCAGTTACCTCACTGGTGCTGCGTCCCGAGCGGGGATGCTCGGCCGCCAGAACGCGATGTCATGAGCCCGGCGCGCATCCCCCATGGACATTATTGTGAATGGCTTACCGCGATTATGTCTGAAAGTGAAAGGCCCTTACATCAAGTCTTCTTTCGGTGACGCTCTGGCTCTTCACAATGCGCTAATAGCGCCTTTGTTAGTGGAGAATTATTGCGGCAAGAAAAATACTATCATCATTTGCGACTATTGCGAGTGACCGTGAAGCACTAAATTCCGAGAACCTGGTGAACAAAATTGGCACTGATTTTCCTGGTGGTTTGTTCTATCGTGCTCGATGCTTTGTTATTACGTCAGTGAATGTAGCGTAAGCCGCTCATGGGCTCGCAAGTTTACTTCCTGCTGCCGTGCTGGAACGTATACGTCATTGATGCCATCCAGATGTGGAAAAATAGCAAAGGAATACCTCACCTTCAGAATTTCCATCATTCAGACTTTAGGTTTCCTACGTTACGTGCCGGCATCAGTCTAAATGACGGAGATTAGGATGTCGCGGTATTTTCCACCCGTGTTTTACACCGGGGTGTGTCCGATGTAAGGTCAGTGTGATCTCATTATCTCCGCACGATGGTATCGGAGCCAGTTTAGTGTGATTGTCGCGTCGTCTCGGTCTCTGTATCGGACCCGGTGACCGCCAGTGAGTCACCCTCCCCTGACGTCAGCTGTCGTATATGTGTGACACGTGTTTCTGTGCTCCTCAGGCCCGGAGAGCTGAGTCGGACCGGCGGCGCCGACGTGGGCTTCATGCTGCGGACCGCCCCCGTCCCCGGCGCCGCCCCCGCCCAGGGGCTGCCGCCCGGGGCGTCCGTCTCGACACCGGCCAGAGACCAGGTGGCAGGGGCGGCGGCCGCCAGCCCGGCGCCCAAACATGCTCCCGTCACTCAGGTAAGCAGAGCTCTCTATCCGTTCCAGTGACACAGGTAGGAAGTCTGTCGTAGAAGTCAGTCGTAGGAAGTCCATTGCATTCAGTTGCGCTGACCAGTGGCGCTGAAAGTCAAATTCCATCTGTAGTATGCACATCTGAAACCAGCCACGGTTTTCTCCTCTATGCGTGGGGCCGCGGCCGTGCGTCAGCAGTTGGCTTGCCATCATCTAATGTCTTCCGGGACGCCCCCATTGCAATGACTTGCAGCAAAATGACACGCCGAGCGACAATACTAGAATCTCCGCCCTCCTCCCACGCTCAATTTCGAATTAAGAGCGCAGGAAGACGATTGCGTAACGTCTAATTCCATGACAGCGGTAATCGCCATATGATGAGACGGAGCGCATTCAGGCTTCGCCGCGCGCTCCTCTCCCAGATAATTTCGTTTCGACACCGGCAGCTGTCTTACCGGTTACTTAGCGTATCGGAGGTGGCCTCCTAATCGGTCCGTCGAACGGTTCGCGTCAGAATCGGACGGGCATCGGCCCCGACATGGTCGGAACGCGCGGCGGGCCAGGAGCGACGGCGGCGCTGGCGGCCCTGATCGGCTGAGAGCATATCTGGAGCAGCTGCAGCGGCTGTGGAGGCTGAGACGGGGCAGCTGGACAGCCGGGCAGCTGATGAGATGTGACGGCTCTGACAGTTGTAGCATCTGAGGAACTGTGAGCAGTGCTGACAGCTGGACAGCTATAGCGGCTGTGGAGTCGTACTGGGCATATTTGAGCGGGTGTGACAGCTGTGACAGCTGTGACAGCTGCGGCAGCTGCGGCAGCTCCCAGCGGCAGACACCCACAGCGGGGTGCGTGTCGGAACCCGAGGCCGGCGTCTGTTCCGGACGAACCGGGTCAGGTCGCCACCTGACGGCCGGGGCCGAGGTCGCGCCGCGCCGACACGCTACCGATCAGGCCAGGTCACACGCGAGACGCACCCCCCGACCCGACCTCGGCACGCGCTCGGCTCTGTGCGTATAATGGTGACCTCTGAGTCATCCGAGCCGCCTATCGAGGCCTCTTCTCTTTCAATGATCAAAACACCTGCCGTGCTTCCTCCTTTATCTCCCGCTCATCTTATGCATGCGTGAGTAATAGTACGGTGCTTTAGTTTGCATGCTCAGTTTGAGCCATATTAATTACCTATTATTTCCGCCTTCTCCCCTACAGTGTTATTGTTAGGCATATTATCTTCTGCAAGCTCTACGTATATTTCGTAAATGTCGTGCGCTCTCCTGTAAATTTTCCCTTGTGCGCGTCCCGTTCCCGATACTTGCAGGTCCCACTCAGCTCCCTCTTCTCTTGTCTCTAATCTCCCTCTTTCGTCCATCTCGGCCCCGCGGCGGCTCGGCGCGAAAACAGCAGTTTCACTTCGTCTGTGACTGCTCGGGTGGTGAGGTGAGGGCCCGGATTATCATACTATCCGGACCGGGGATGCCGGCGGCGGCCGGGGCGGGGCCGCGTCGAGCGGCCGGCGGCGCTCCGAAAGCGGCGACGGCGGTAATTCGTGGCGGCTCGCCGGTGACCTCCGCCTGCCCTCCATCATACCGGGTCCTCGGGCGGACACCGGGGCGGACCCGACGGGAGAGAGAAGAGAGAGAGAGAGAGAGAGAGAGAGAGAGAGAGAGAGAGAGAGAGAGAGAGAGAGAGAGAGAGAGAGAGAGAGAGAGAGAGAGAGAGACTCGGGATTGGTGCCAGACTCTGCTCCCCAGTCTTCTCTCCGACTTGGGCTCATCATTATGCTGTTTGGCATTGTCGATGCAGTAATGGTGAAGAATGGCTTGAAAAAGCTTTTACTGGATAATGTCTGAGATTTGAGGGAGAATGACTAGTCTTACTTAAGAACGATTACGTCGGCCATCAGGAACCAATGTGACATTGGTTTTCCAAGTAATTGCTGGAAGATTATCAACACAGCTTTCAGGAATTCTTAGCGGCATCATTATTAAACTCAAAACTTAAAAGCTGCCTTGTACTGAGTAACAAGGAACCTCTAACGAAAACATCACATGCCAATCAAAGCGTAATCGTGTACGCATATAAACAGGTCTGTCTTCCTTCTCCATGAGCCAAAGAACGGTAGCCATGCGTAACTCATCAATCAAAGCTCCCAGGGCGAGCCGTCGGCGACTCTCCGGTCTGGCATTACACAATTTGAGCTGTCAGCCGGCTTGTCTGCCGTCGGCACATTACTGCGGCGCCTATCCGAGATAATGTCTCGGAGATTCATAACGCCGTGACACGCTAACCGCCGCGCTGCCCGGCGAGACACCGGAGCCGGCCGGCCGACCCGCCCGGGTCAGCCGGCTGGACCGACCCGTGTCTGCGCACTGACCCAGGAATGCACCAATTGTACTCTAACGGACCAGCCGTCACGGTCCAACGGGCTCCAAACAGAGCCAGCCACAAATCATGCGGCTGATCGTCATATCTTCCGCACTCGGTAATTGTTTGATTTAGGTACGGTTGTTGTGGACAGGGCTCGGGGACAGGGTGCTCGGAGGTATGCGGTGCGCCCGGTGGTCGGCAGTGACGTGTCGCATGGCCCGTGCCGTGCCGCGCTCCGGTGTGGAGAGTGGCAGGACCGTTCATCAACTCCTGCCGACAATAGCTGTCACCGGGGTGGCAGTGTGAATGATGGGGGCGCCCCATATGGTGTGCGGGGGACGGGGACACGTGCCCGGGCACCGGCTCATGGCAACAGGTCAGCACTTACAGGCCACCTCCCCGTGTCACTGAGGCACATCAGACTCACAGCGGCAGATAATCGCCACTCCATCTGCTCCAGGTATTTACCCGGTGGCCGCTAAAACGGATAACGTCACTCACAACAGGTGGGCACATTCCTGACGCAGCTATCACCGGATCGATTAAATGGAAATGTTATGCTGCACGAAATCTGTCAACACGAAGCTGATTTCAATGGGCAGGTGTGAGCGCCTCCAAACGGCAGTTCGATGAATTCATTTGCATGCACCTGACGCCCTCTGATGCCGCTCGTAGGTGGCGGAAAATGTTAAATATTCTGAAAATTCTGACCTACCTACATGCCTGCACGCCCGGCGCCGGTGCAGCGCGAACTAATGGCCGGTCGTTCGGTCTCATTCAGAGCACAGCACCGTGCGTGCCGCGGTAAGGTTCGGACGTTTTGATGAATCTGAGCCACTCGGGGCGTGCTTTGCTCTCAAAACGCACCCACGCAATCGACACTAATCATCATTTTCATTTGCATACAAATTATTCCCGACTCTGATGTATGCGCCGAGTGTAGTTTCGGTTCACGGTCGGTAGATGGTGCTGGGGGCGCGGCTGGTCCGCGCTCCGGTCCGGTCCGCCCCGGGGTCAGGCTGGCAGCTCGGCCACTCCACAGACCGGGCGGCGGTCACTGCTCCTGCACAGCCGGCCGTTTCCAGTGGGAGTCCGGTGGCCCTCAGTAATATATATATCGGCTGCCGGGCCGCCATACCGCCGCTTTACAGAAGCCCAGTATGCAGCGGGCATGCAGACAGGCTGCAGGCGGACATAAATTTCCCGTTAATGCGTTCGCGCCTGCAGGCGTGTTCGGTTTTATGGGAGAGCTTTATGGTGGTGCCGATGAGAGGCCCAGTGGTTAGACGAACTCTGGGAGCAGGGCGGTGGCAGGGAGGACCGGCATAAACAACGCAGAAAGGACCGTTTAATGCCAAATATGCCACGCAACATGTTAAGTATGCGTCCCTTAGTGTGCGCTAAATGTGCATAATTGCACCTCCTCGTCCTTGGTTTTTGCGTGGTTTACCAAAACAAACTAGTTTATTATTTTATGGAGGCTGTGGTAGCTGACAAGGCCCGGGCCTGCCAGCTCATTTCCTTTCCAAGGAATGTAGCTAAATGAGGAAACTTTCGAATAATCTCGGCCGTGCCCTTTTCAGCTGCGGTGATTTTGATGCTCGGCGAGATAAGATGTGTGGTCAAAGAGAGGCCGGGCACGAAGTGCGGCGCCGGCTGCCTTTGCTCTCTTGTCGACGTTCTCCATGAACTGAGCGCTGTACCCTGGAATAGCTGGAAGACCTCCCGGGGCCGGGATTATTGTCGTGCTTTGGTCGGTCTGCGTCATAAGCCCCTTGTCCTCGCTAAGTGTGAAAGGGTGCTCGTGCTTTTTAAGTATTCACTACATGCATACTCGCCGGACAGCGATCGGCATGGACGGCATTCTGCGCTAATTGTTTGCTTTTGTTGAAATAATTTATAGCCTAGCCAAGATGGTAAGGCCAATGATTTTATCATAGGGAAGGTAGGTAATCATACCCCAACAAAGTAAGTTCTTCAGGTTTGTGTTCTTAGTTCCTTTCTAAACAATCGCAGCTCTTAGTTCGATATTCAATGCCAAATGAAATATTTTATACAAACAGGGTTGAAAGTGGAGGGGCCATGGTTCCTTCTCTTAGCATCTAAGATGTCACCTTGTCAGGTATGCTGCCTCAGCTAGGGCCGGCGCTAAGGACGCGGAGAGCTGGCCTCTGGACCGTCATTAGAGCTATCCTCCGTCCGTCAGCAGTTTGTTTGCCGGCCGTTTTTCCACACCTGGACCGGGGGCGCTATTTGTCCTCCGGAGCGGCGGAATGTGCCGCTGATGAGCGGGCCGGACGGCCGGGGCGGGTCTGCGGTCAATTAGCCGACTGCGGGACGACCGCCCAGTGCTGCCACCTGTCCGGAGAGGGCGCAACTAGCGGCGGCCGGCCGGCGCGCGCAGCCGCAGTGTGCTGAGGACGCGCGACGGGTGAGTGCCACGGTCCCAGCGCGTGATATGTGAGTAAAACCAGCACGTGGTGCTCTTACTGGGGGACGGTCCCGTGTGAAGGAGTGTGCTGTGAGAGGGCAGGGGCGGGAAAAACTAGTTGGTGATTTTCTGTTTTGGCTTGCTGTGCTGCTGCGGATTATGGTGATACTTTTCTGTGCAGTAATGCCGTCGCTGGTAGTCTTCTATGGGG